TGACGTTTAATGCGTTTACTTAATTTTATTTATTCAAACATCAAATAGCTTAATCTTATTATCTTTTGTTCAATTGTTTCGTGATTAATTCTCAAATTTAAATTGAATTTATTTACATTGAAATGTGTCCGCGTAAGAAACAGAAACAGAAACAGAAACAGAAACAGAAACTTTTTTATTCAATATAGATTATAAATAATACTTATTGAAAGTCACTCTTTTGTTTGATTACCAGTAAGCTTAGTTTATCGCGACAGCGTAGTGGTCTCTTGTGCGTTTCTTCGCCGGAAGTGCTGAAGTCTTCACGACGACTTGGCTACATATATCGTGATAACTCCAATATCAAGTCCAGTATCGGGTATATCGGTAATACCAGGTCCTCATTTATTTTAATAATATTAGCAAACTTTCAACTATCTTCCAGAAAATTTGTAAAGATATTTTGAAAATGTTTCTTTTATAATGTCAATTAATTACTTATTTGCGCAAATATGACAATGACCATTAAAATAAGCTAATTTGGGGATCTAGCAACAAAATAAAACGAAATATCATTTCTGTGTACTCTTTTAAGCCTCAGTTTGCGAGTTTTTTAAGTTTGCAGACCACTTCGGCACAGGTATTCTTGAAAATGTTTCATAACTGCAGTTTATATTACAGTTTCAATTTCATATTAAAAGATATATAGATATGGCAAATATCTGAATTGCTCTTGTAAACGTTATTTATGTTCTGGTTTGTAAATAAGTAGATTTTAAAAAAAGGAGAATATTTATGTAACCTTTTAGTATATTTATCTATCATCAAGGGTGAGGTAATTGCGTCATAATTCTTCTTTTACAAGTGGATTTGAGTGTCTGCAACTGGAGCTGAAACTATTGAAGTCATTGAGCATGGTGCTTAGGTCCTCCAGCGATTCTGCCATAAGGACTATATCGTTGGCAAATCGAAGGTGAGTGATGTACTCGCCATTGATATTAATACCGTATCCTTTCCAGTCCAGAAGCTTGAAAACGTCTTCCAATGCAGCGGTGAAGAGTTTCGTGGATATAAAATCACCCTGTCTTACACCTCTCTGCAATTGGATAGGTTTTGTACTCTGATTCTGTACTCGGATAGCCATCGTAGCTCTACTGTACAAACACTTCAGCACCTCAAATATACCGACAGTCAACTTAGGACCGCTGAAGGACCACCGCACACCGCAGTACCGCCCAAATTTCGACGGAATCAAAGGCTTTCTCATAGTCCACATACATCAGACATAGTGGCAAATTGTACTCCTCGGACTTCTGTACAATTTGCCGAAGGGTATGCATGTGGTCTATGGTGCTAAATCTCTTTCGGAAACCGGCTTGTTCGGGAGGCTGGAAGTCGTCAAGTATGCGTGCGAGACGATTCGTAATGACTTTTGAAAACAGCACGTAGACGCGGCTCAGAAGGGAAATCGGTCTGTAGTTTTTCAAGAGAGCATTGTCACCTTTCTTGAAGAACAAGACCACCGCACTTCTGCTCCACGCCTCCGGTGTAATGCCACCATCAAGGACGGAATTAAAGAGCTTCTGAAGGACTTCAAGTACCAGTCTTCCACCCGCTTTCAGAAGCTCCGCTGTAATTCCATCCTCGCCTGCAGACTTGCCGTTTTTAAGGTGCTGGAAAGCCATTCTATTCTCGCTCAGACTGACGTCCGGGATATCTTCGGAATAGTGTCGGTTAAGACTCGCTCTTGGATCGTTACTCACTCTTGCGTGTGGCTCCAACGGTGACGTGTACAGCTGCCTAAAGAACCTCTCAATCTCATTAAAAATCTCAGGTGCCCCGGAAACGATGCTGCCACACTCGGTCTTCAGCTTTGACAGTTGGCTCTTTCTGTCAAAGACTTTGGAGCCCTGGTTCCGCTCGATCGTTTCTTTAATACAAGCTGTATTGAAGTTGCGTAAGTCTCGCCGCATGCATTTGGAGATCTGTCTGTTCAGTTTCCTGTATGCTGTCAAATCTGTTGAAGAATGTAGTTTCATCTCCCGTCTAATAGCCATGAGATTGAGAGTGTGATCGGAGAGTTTGTGTGTTCTTCTGTGGCGGGTCTTGCAGAACTTAGGTCCGACCGCATGGACAGTTTCCACGAGCTTGTCATTCATATCGTCCACTTCATTGTTGTCTTCTAGGCACTGAAAACGGTTTTGTTACTCGAGCTGAAAGGTTTCGGGACTTTGGAACAGAGTACGAGGGGGACGGAGCGTTGACTTCATTAGACGAGACCTCTCCGACTTAACGTTTAGGTTCAGTGTGCCTCTAACTATTCGGTGATCGCTGTCAGTTTTCACTCTCGCGATCACGGAGACATCACTGAACAGTTGTCGTCTGGTCGTCATAATGAAGTCAATCTCATTTTTTGTAGAACCGGCGGGGCTCAACCAGGTCCACTTCCTGTGGGGCCGCTTCTGGAAGACAGAGTTCATCATAAAGAGTTCCTCTTTCTCCATGAAGTCGGCCAGCTGCTGGCCCCTTGGGTTTCGTTGCCCTATTCCAAATTTACCTACTTTCAGCTCTTCGTTCTCTCTTGTGCCTAGTTTTGCATTGCAGTCTCCCATTAACACCGTATATTGGGTTTTGGAGGAATGCATGGCTCTAGAGATATCCTCATACATTTCCTCTACCTCCTCATCGGGGTGTGCCGAGGTTGGTGCGTAAACCTGTATGACCTTCAGCGATTACCGTTTGGTGATTCTGAGTATAAGGTACGCAACCCTCGTCGACACACTCAATCTTTACAACGTTGTTAACGAGAGACTTGTGGTCGATAAATCCGACACCTCCTTGGGACAGATGGTCGCCCTCCCAGTGATAGAGCAAGTTGCCGCATTCGAGGATTACCGTGTCCTCCCCCTCTCTTCGTACCTCGGATAATCCTATGATATTCCAGCGCAACTTGTCTATCTCTTCTTCCAGCTCCAGGATCTTATCGTCAGTTCTCAGGGTGCTTGCGATATAAGTTGCCAGGTCGAGTCGTCATAGGTGGCAACCGAACCTCCACCGGAGATTCTTAGCACCCCTGCCCCGCCGTTACCATGGTCGCCACCGTAGCCAGGAATAGCGGGGCCGCCGGGGACTGGGGGCCGTTTTTTTGTTAGTCTCATCATATGGGGGATATTCGCCATAGTTGCCACGCTTGGCGAGCGGGTTGGCAACCGCAGTTTTTTTATTGTACGTTTGTTGTTATCAGGAAGATGCTGCTACTCATCTCCTTCATCATCAAGCGGGACATTTAATTATAAATTTTTCAATTTATTTTATAAAATTAAGTTTGAAAACATTTAGAAACAGCAAGCAATAACATCACCATATGCCTAGGGTTATTATGAATCATATAGTCTTTAGTCCTTAACCTATAATAAAAAAATTATACTTTTATATACTCGTGGTCTTGTATATTTTCTGCGACTTTGTTGCAAAAGCGTATAGTTTCCATGAAGGACTCCAGGACTGAAGGAAGGATTACCGACTCTTTTGGTGTCGTGTAACTGGTATATTAATCAGATAAAACCACTTACGATGACGTTGTTAAGAACAGCATACCGGTTATATTGACCAAACTCATAAGTCCCAGCTGAATGCTTTATAATCGACATATAAAAAACACTGCTTTTTACGACATTGCTTGTTACAAAAAACGTCATCAAGCGACATAATTTAACTGATAATTTCGGAGAATGGTGTCTCTAAGAACGACCAGCTGTATTGTGAATAATTTGAATAGATAACAGTATCCACGTCTATGACAGCCTAATGGTCAATTGATCGCACAAGTAAACAAAAACATGTCGAGTTTAATGTCTTTTGTAATTCTCAGAAACAAACTACACGTACAAGCAGTATAATCAAAGACCGATTTCTGATATCTATTCAGTAAATTTGTTACTTCATGACGCACCAAAGCATATTGTTCAGTTAATTGTGAACTTTTAACATGTCGCAAAGAAAAAGAAAACAAATTAATATCTGAGAAAAAACGAAGATTGAGGAAGCTTTGATAAAGTGTTTAAATATCAAAGGACCAATAATATGCCATTAAATGGATTAATTCTTCAACAAAAAGGAAAAGATTTGTTCAGGGTTTCGGTGAAGATTTCCTTTACTCATCTAGTTGGATTCAACAATTCCGGGCTCCACACAGTATCTTCGGCGGAAAAATGAGTGTTCAAGCTGCCAGTCTTGATAATGGTGTTGTAGAAGAATGAATATCGCAACAGTAGCCAGATGATGTTTTTAACGCACATGAAACCGGACTTTTTTTATAATTTGACACCAGACAGGATTTTAAAGCTCAAAGAAGAGAATTGATGGAAAAATATCTAAGACGAAACTAACAATCATCATTAGAGCAAATGACAGGATCCTACAAAAGTAATATTTTAGCTATCGGCAAATCTAAGAAATGCTTTAAAAACATACGCTCACTGCCGGTTAACATTAGAAAACAATGTGAAGTGGATGACATTGGATATTTTTAAAAGGTTACGGTTACGAAACTGGGATGGTGATTTAAGAGAAAACAATAAGTTAATTCTACTTTTGGTTGATAATTATCCCGCTCATCCGGCTACTACTAATCTGAAGTAGATTTAACTTCTGTGTTTACCACTATATATTACATCTGTACTGAAACCTATGAACCAAGTTGTAATAAGATGTTTAAAATTTCATTATAGAAGACTGTAAGTGTTAAAGTTAATTTCAAAACCTTTACAGTAATGACCAGAAAATCTTTACGGTTCTTGATGCCATCTTGATAATATTAGAAGCAAGGGAACAGTTTAACAAAAAACTATAGCTAACTGCTTTAGACTTGCAGATTTTACAGACTTAACAATATGATTGATTTAATTGATGATGATGAAGAGAACAATATTTATTTGGCTCAATTAGCCCAAAATTCACGACCTACATTATCTATATATTGATGTAGATAACTCTATTGCAATTAGTGCAACAGCTGATAAATGTTAAGAAATAAAGATAATATTGTACAAGAAGTTCAGAAGGACAATGACGAGGAAGAGGAAGAGACTGAAGAACAATTCACAGTGCGAACTTTAAACGATGGTCTCAATGTTGTTCATGTATTACGGATGATTATTCTTTTTAATGAACAGTTTCACATCCAGAGAAATTATGACGATACATTTATTAAAATCCAGCGCCAACTACAAAATTCGTACGCATGACAGAAGTTTTCCAAACAGACTAATAAACTATTGGTAAATCCCATTGTGCATACCCAATGCGCATTAAAAAAATTACATATAACATGATCATACGATTTTTTTTAAAGTAGTTTAAATACACACAAGTTTTCACTAATAACCTTATTATTGTACTTGCAATTTCCCAATAATTTTATAACTTCAATTTAAAAAAAGTTTGGAAAATCCAAAAGTGCACGACTCATAATACTCATATGATCATCATATCATCGTTCAGGTCACTCCATTAAGTCCAAGACGTATTTAAGTATATTTAGTACGTAGTACTTTTATTTATTTAGTTTGTAATAAAAACCTCTAATTATTATAATAATCAAGTATGTATGAAATTTGTAAAACAACCGATACCGTATCCACTCATGTCGGTAGCTGACGACGATGTGATTGAGTGAGGCAGTCTATTTAGTAAAATAAATTATTACAAGGCTGCTAAAACACCGAACATTTCCGGATTTCTACACTGAAAAATTAATTATAACTAAACAAATAAAACTAAACTGCCATTTACATTCCATGGCTGCCTACATGATACATGAAGATATTAAAAAATTGATTGAGTAAAACAATTGATATTTTCAAAAGTTGTACGTGGTAGAGCCATGCTGCAGCAATATTAGTAGTATAGTTGTAGCACGAATGTGTCGGCTTGACCGGTGAAAGACCATGCTCTCACAGAATACCAGCGTAAAATAGCAGCTTATCACTGCTGTATTTCGTATGGTGAGTGTAGAGAACCGGAGACCCTTTTTACTGGAAAAGAGTCATTCCATCTTAGTCACTGGTGACAACACATCTGCATTTTGATTCTTTATTGAGGATAGATGTAGATGTTTTTGGGTCTCAGCGACCATTTGCTATCAGGTGGACTGTGTACTCGTTTGTCACCCTATCCTATAAAAAAAGTTATCGTGTTTAACACTCCATGCGGGCTTGATAAATCTACATCATAAGCCACTAAAACCACTTTTATATGAAAAAATAGCAATTAATCGATTTAAAACACGCACAAACTTAGAAAAAAAGTATTACTAAGTACAACAATCATTTATCTTTCTGACACTGTGATTTTTAGATCATTTATATGTTATATGTATGATTATTAGATACGATTTTATGCGACCAAACGTTGGAATCTTGATTTTAAGCGCTAGTAGAACATACCTACGCGCTTTGCACTTAAGGCATGCGATACATACTTTATGAATGCAGAAAAATGATAATGTTCTTTCATATTATACGTATTATGTGAAATCGATACATATACCTACATGTACCTACATTCAATAATACTACTTAATAAAAAATACTTTGTATTGTACCTCAAAACTATCACCGGCTGTTACTGCTATCGGTTTTTACAACCAAGTATGAGTAGTCCCTTTGATATCATAACAGATTTTGACAATATTTAAGATTTATTACTTTGTCATAATTATTAATCTAAAATGATAAGATTACCATGGGATTACAACAAAACTGCGAAACAATGCTTGATTTTTTTTATATATTACGAAATAAGTTAAGTATAAAACCCAATCCGCTCAGTCGGATAGAGACCGGTTTCCACCATTACATCAGATTATAAAGACCAGAAAGCTTAGCAAAAGAACACCGACTCGTACTAAGGATGATTCGCGAGTATATTCAAAAATACGTCCAAATTTCAATATAGAAGATGGCTGGGTGCTATTATCTGCTTGAGATCCTATAATTAACAAAATTATATCCAAACCCAAGTATAACACTGCAAAACTTCAAGATACTGTAAACTCGTTCTGCGTAAATCAGATCAAAAATTAATATTAAAAACAGAACGTATCTGTACGATATCAGGACGTCAAACACCTCAGTAGCATCCCGTGACCATTGATGCTGTAAAGCTACCAAAACATCAGAGATTAAAAATAAATAAAATATGTTAAATTAAACGCGATAAAATTCGTTTTAGTTTTGGTCAATATCTAGTACTCTAGCAAATATAAAAAATCATTATCACAGACAAAAACCCTGAGAATAGCAGCCCTGATAACATCATTAGTTAGGTGTCAGTTTATCACGGAAATTTTCATACGACGAATAAAGACGAAATTTCAAATTACGATGACTTTCTACCAACTCTTAATAACAAAAGTTTTAACAAGCGCCCGAACTTCGTCTTATTACAAAACACAAACAAAATCAAGATTTGTCACCTTCAGGGATTACAGTTTAAGTATCATTATCTTTTACAAAGTTTTGGAATCCACATGAATACACAAAAAGATATATGTCATCATCATCACCATCAGTCTCCAGCACTCTACTGCTGGTGAGTCTCTCCCATAGCACGCTACTTAGCGCATATTTTGGATTTATGCATCCAGGTGATTTTTATGTTTTTTTTTCACTTCAGTTTTATAAAAAATATTTATTCTAGGATTATTTTTTCTCATCATCATCAAACCAAAACCTGTCCATTTTTAACATGGGCGTTCCTGGATTTAAGGGAAGATATGCCGTATATTATATTGTGCCAAATGGCAGGCAGCTTGGCAATTGAAGTTCCGGTCATCATTATTATCATCATCATGATTACAGCCCTTCACAAGTCCGCTGCTGAACATAGGCCTCCCCCAAGGAATGCCACAAAGTACGGTCCTGAGCCACCTGCATCTATCGACTTCCGGCATGTCTTACCAGATCGTCACTCTTATCTAGTGGGGGACGGCCTACACTTAGCCTACCGTTACGAGTCGCCACTCCAGAACCTTTTTTCCCCATCGGTTGTCGGTTCTTCGAGCTATATGGCCAGCCCATCACCGCTTCAGCTTACTAATACGTTGGGCCATGTCGGTCACTCTGGTTATACTGCGGAACCCTCATTTCTAAGTTTATCACGCAGAGAAACCCCAAACATAGACTTTGAGCTTCCTCATATGGCCAGCAGTGAAGGACCACGTCTCAGTTCCATAAGTCATCACTGTCAACAAGCACTGGTTATACAGTCTCGTTTTCAAGTTTTGAGGTATAACCGGACGTAAAGATGTACCGTAATGTCCCTAACGCTGCCCAGCCGAGGTGAATCCGTCGATTTACCTCTCGGTCCAAGTTGGACTTACCTAGTGTGTGACATGGAGGGACGTTATACATGATCTTTGTTTTTGGAGGCACTATTGAGGTCATTGAGCATAGAGCTTAAGTCCTCCTGCGATTCTGCCATACGGACTATATCGTCAGCAAATTGAAGGTGAGTAGTGTACTCGCCGTTGATGTTAATACCGTGTCCTTTCCAGTCCAGTAGCTTGAAAACTGTCTTCCAATGAAGCGGTAAAGAGTTTCGGGGATATTTCTTTTTAAAAATAAAGTTCGTGAACATTTAGTAAAGTATTTCAAGTGTGAATTAACGCTTTTTCCTAAAGAATGATTCTATCGTCACATATTTTTCTTATTTATCATGATATAGTTATATATATATACCTATATCTCTTTATGTATAAAAATTACGTGTCACGTTGTTGGTCCGCGATGAACCCCTAAACTACAGAACTGATTTCAATGAAATTTTCCACACTGTGCAGTTTGGTCCAACTTGAGAGTAGGATAGTTTTTATCCTTATAAGTGACACTCAATATTTTTTCAACGTCTGGCTGGCCAGCTAGTATGTATATATATATATATATATATATATATATATATATATATATATATATATATATATATATATATAATATATATATATATATATATATATATATATATATTATGTATATAACATTATGTAAATATTTATATATTTAATGTATTTAAGTAGATTTATGTATTTGTGTACGTCTGTATAAATATTCTATACATATATTATATATTTTTTATATTCTGGTATAGTCGAACTTTGTTAACCTTTTCCGGGACGATATGAAGTAGTCGATATTCTTACACCGCTACGACAAAACATCTATTCACAAGCCTGGACTTGGAAACTTATTGTGGTTTTGTATTTTATCTATTTTCAGAGTTCATTATGATTAATATTATAATTTTATAATTGGTAATTTATTTAATTTTCTAAATGTTATTGTAGATTGAATTAGATAATCATTAGAATAGCTTTTTCCAGAGTACTCAAGTAGTCATTCTTCAATTCTTTTTTAAAACGATTATCTTATCTTAATTTATGTGCAAGTCGGACTTCCAAATACTTTAAATTTAGCTAAACAAGAGTATCGTTTAGTCGAACCGTGGCAGTGTAATAAAATCCACTGCCCCATATCAACCCCGTAGATCTCGTAAATAGCAACAAAGTTAGATGAAACAGGAGGTCAACAACAGCATCAACCTCATAACGACTCAAAATAATAATAAGCTGCGGTTGCCAACCCGCCTGATATGAGGCAATCTATGGGAGAGGCACATGTACTGCATTAAACATTTTATAGGCTATAATATATGAATGACCGCTAAAATGACTAAAAATAGGCCGAAATAGGATGATCGTAACTAAAGGACTTATTTTTAAATCAGCCTTATGGGGAGCGGGTATTCAAAAAATATTTAAAAAAAAATTAGATTTTGATACCCTATCTATCCCGCAAATGAAAATGTAAAGCTAATAGTAGTAATGTATATAAGTCGTTTTCTTCATAAAATGTTTATTTTTAATAGTTTACAATAACTTCACAAAGTTATTAATGCAGCTAGTTTTATATTACTTTAAAGCTACATATTCGCAAACAGATCCCACCCCACATGATGGAATAAACGGGTAAAAGAAATCATCATATGGCATTTAATTGTTTGCGAAGTACCCAAAATAAAAATGTTTTTTAAGATTTTACTCCACAGTTTTCTAGTCGTCATTAATATCTATGACTATGCCGAATTTTTTTTTCAATTTGTAACACCTAGGGTCTCTGAGCAAAACCGCGGATGGACGGACGGAAGGTCATGGCGAAACTATAAGGGTTTCTTGTTGTG